GTAATAATGCAGATGTGTTATAAATTGATGTTACAGAATCGAATAAAAGATCACACTGCAGAGGCAGAATCAGTAGGACTTGGTGATTGATTGGATGTCAGGAGTAAAGGAGAAGTGAAAAAGTGCTCTTTAAAATTTAGAGCCACCGTGAGTCGAAATGATGGAGCCATCAACAAGAAGGAAAATCAAGGAAAAGATTTTCTTTTGGAAGGGAAAAACTAATGTTTGGCTTTAAACATTTTGAATTTGAAGTAATAGTGGCACATTCAGGAGGAAATATACAGTAAGAAGTTGAAAATGTGACATTGGAAGTCAAATAAGAGGCTAGACTCAGGTTAACTTTCTGCATTGAGGTGGTATTTGAATAATAAAAGTGAATGAACTCTCCAGTGAAAAGTAAATGTAGAGAGAGAAAAGGAGGGGGATGAGAGGAATAGTTGTTGCCACCAGCTTCCTACAAAACAAACTCATTCTGTGGAACTTAGAAAAAATTAAAAAAAAAAAATAACTAGTCGGACCTATTAGGAAATGATGGCTTCCAAGTTTCATTCCACTCCCCAGGCTCAACCCTTAGCTAATAGTCATTTCTGCTACAATGCTTATTTCGAAAATGTGAATTTGTTTCAACATGATTGCTGTATTAGAGAACATTTTGAACATAACTCCAGTTTTGGTTTGCTTGTGCACAATTTCCTCAGCGAGAAATAGTGAGAATGCAGCAAACTGTATCACTTCATAATAACTGACAGGCTCTAAACCCGATGCCTATTTCCACAAGCAAACTTTAGGTCTTTTTTAAGGTAAAGTGCCACATTTATTATATATTTTCTGGCATAGGAGTGACTGTGGACAGAGGAAAGCTAGTCCAAACTCCCCCTCATCACCACATTTCCCCATGGGCGTTTGAAGGGCCATTTGCCAGGCCAGGACATGGGACAGGTTGCAAGTGAAGGTCTCAGGGCTGCCACTATTTTTTGTAGCATTTATGTATTTCTTAACCATTTAACATGTGTAAAACTGTACCATTTTTGTTGGGCTCCTGTCTTTTTTATGTCACGATGAAGTTTTGGAGCATTGTACCCCAGCCCCATTTTTCTCGTAAGCCCTTTGGCTTTTATTGTGTGATTTTTTTGATCAGTAAAGTGCCTTTTGGGAATCGATATGTTGAATTATGCTGCCCTTTAATACCAGCAGGCTGATGCCTCTAGGATGACTAGGCTTTAGCCCCTAGAAGTTTGGAATAGCACCCCAGAGTGGACATTTAGCTAAATATGCCTACTGTAAATAGCATTCTGTTCTCCAGCCCTGCACCTTTGTACAAGTGGTTCCCCATGGGAATTCACTCCTTTGTCTTTTCCATCTGGTAAAATCCCTAGCTTCCTTCTAAGTACAGGTTGGGTGCCATCCTCCTTCAATCAGTCAGTCAACAAGCATTAATTAAGTGCTTACTGTGGGCCAACTGTGCTGAGCCCTGGGGATATTTAAAAAAAAAAGGCAAAAATATAGTCCCTGTCTTCATGGGGTTTGCAGTTTAACGAGGATTGCTACATGCAAACAAATATGTAAATACAAGCCAGACAAAGAATAACTGAAAGGTAACCTCTGAGAAATGGAACTAGGTATGGGGTCCAGGAAAGGCCATGTGTGGAAAGTAGTATTTGAGGTGAGTCTTGACACTAGTAGGGAGAGGGGAGGAAGGAGAAGATTCCAGTCATCGGGGATAGCCATTGAAAGGCCTAGAGTGGGGAGGTATGCAAGGAACAAATGGAAGACCAATGTCACTGGGCCATAGAGTACTTGGCCGGGGGTGGGGGTGTTTAAAATGCAAGAAGACTCAAAGAGAAGGTAGGAAGGGGCCAGGTTTGGAAAGTGGAAAGGGAAATATGTATGATATCCTTAGTTAGAACTCAATATACTTTCCTCTTGGGAATACTGTTATAAATGGTGGCTGTTCAATGATAATATTATAAAAGTTATTTATTCTTATGTTTCTTTAGGAGCAAAGACCCTACAACATCTATCCTATCTTCCTTCCTGTTTAATAGAAATAGATTATAGAAAAGTGGCATTTTCTGTAATATTCCTGGTAGCTTCCCGGTGAAAACTTCCTGTGACAGGAAATTTACATTTTTTCTGTGAAACTCTTGAGCTCGTTGAGATGGCAAAGGACAGTTAAAGAGTTCTTTTGTTAAACTGAAGTACACTTCACTATGTCTTCTTGCCTATTATAGCAACCTAAATTGAGTTAACAGCCCTTCCAGTATTAATATTGGAGTCTGGTTATAGTGTTGCTTAATATGTGTGTTTTGCAGGATTATATTTTATGGCTTTTGCAGACTGGCTTCGGAACCTCAGTTACTGTTATAGCATTATTTCCATGGGAAAGTGTGTTCAGAATCCAAAATGACTTAAGGATTTACTTTTGGAAAAGTACCCCATTCCATAAGTTGAAGATGTTTGTATACGTGTATGATCTTCCAAGCTTTCTGATTTGGCATTCCTCTCATGCAACACTGACTAATCAACACCTGTATGTCTCATTATCCTTGCCTGCTAATGTGCTGATTTCTGATGATGATGTGAAACATGTTAGAAAAGACATAGCCAACAATAGACATCCATTTTTCTGCTTCAGTACCTTGCCTTACAATAGTACAATAGTCTGCTCTCAGTTGCACTTTATAGGAATTTATTAGGTTTAAACTGCAGGCCTCCTGTCTTTTAAAAGAGAAAGAGAACAAGACAATATAAAAATACAAACAAATATGTTCTTTAAGCTGCAGTAAGTGTAATTTTTAATTCAGAGAGATTTTTTTTCAGGCTAGGGTAATTGGGAATGAAACTTGTTTCAAGATCATACCACATTTTCTTTCATTGTTCTTGCATTCCTTTATGAACTCTTGAAATATTTCAAACTGTAGGCAGTGTTCTCTATGAGCACCTCATAGTAAGATTATACAACAGTTTTTTGGGAAGAGTTGAGAATGCTCACACATCTTGAACTTTAGACTATTTTCTATGGCTTCAGAATTTAAAATAATAGAAATGTCCAATGTTATTGAATAACAGATAAAATACTAGAAATATAGTTTAGATAATTAGAAAATCATATAATGAGAATGGTACTGGATTGGTTGTCAGAGGAGCTGGGTTCCAATCTTGATATTAGCCTAGTTGCATAACTTCCTTGGGTTTTTGTTTCTTCATCTTTAAAATAAAGGATTTGGACTGAATAATCTGTGGTCCTTCTGCCTCTAAATCTGTGATCCTTTATGAATAGATGCATCATATGTTTTAACTGAAAATTACAGACTTCTTTTCCTAGAAAAAAAAAATCTGCTTTGATGTTTCCGTATTTCATGCTGTGCTATCTAAAATTAAATAAGATGTTTTGTTGCTATATTGTTGAGGGAAATGTACTAGTGTCCTCTTTGGAGGCTTGATGAGCTATTGCTAGGAACAGAGGAGTAAAGAAAACTTATTATGGTCCTAGTATTTCTTATTAGGAATGGTAGGGAATGAGCTAAATAGAAGTAAATAATTTAAAATAAGATCAAAATTAACTTATCAAAGGGTGCTTGCTGGTAATTGAATAAATAAGGAGAATATTAAGTATCCCTTGGAAACTACAGTACAGAATCTGACCTAGATTTTCCTGTATTCTACTAAGCCCGTTGAAAAGATAATATATTAACGCCTAAAGATATGTAGCTATACCACAGTTTCAAAAGCAACTGAATCCTTTTTGTGCTAATCTATTTTGGGGAGTGGGGAAGAGGACCTGTGGTTTCATTAATATAGGGGTTCCTGGTGAGTTACTCCCACCAGGAGTTATCTAGCAGGGGCACTGACCCAAGCTTCTTGTGTTGGGAGCCCAGGGCCTGGTCACTGGCTTTGTGTGCTGGGGCCTCCGATGCTGGCAGCTGGAGGCTGTAGGGTTCTGGCAGCTTACCTGGTGTTTGGCTAGAATCAGCAACACTGGAACTGTAGGGGTAGGATTGGGTAGTATGGCCCCTGGAGGGTTGCCTGCTCACTCAGGCCTTTCCTTCGCTTTGTTCAGCTCCTTTTAGATGGATGTTGCAGGATATTTATCCTCCTGGGGCCCCTTGGAGTGCTTCCCAGAGTTGTGCTGAGGTGCTGGGAGACCCAGTTGCTGTAGAATGCCGAGGCACTTGGTGGTTTTCCGAGCTGGTTTCCATCAGTTCCCCCTGCCCTCACTGATTTGCACTCAGGGGTCTTGGTGTTGGTATTTGCCTGCTCCACCATCTGGGTTTCAGGATCTCCTCCTGGTATGCTGAGGTGGGGCTTTCCGCTAGCTTTCTGGGATACTTGCCATTCTGTACTGCTCCCCTTCCCCCAGGGCAAGAGAGGCCTTTCTCATTCATCCTTCAAGCTACCTGGGCTACCATACTGTCTTTCTTCTGGTTCAGCTGTTCCAGGGTTTTTGCTGGGGTGATATTTTCTGGGCTTTCAGAGTTTAATAAGGGAGGATAAGAGTGACTTACTTCTTACTCCGCCATCTTGGCTCCCGGAAACGAAAATCGAACTTTGGCAGTTTTTAAGGATTTGTTAGCCATAAGACTGAATTTGTCAAAAGTTTTTTCAACGAGATATCAAGGAAGAACTGAGAATCTTTTTTAAAATAAGGACCTCAAAGGGGCAGCTAGGTGGCGCAGTGGATAGAGCACCGGCCCTGAAGTCAGGAGGACCTGAGTTCAGATCCGGCCTCAGGCCAAACACTTGACGCTTACTAGCTGTGTGACCTTGGGCAAGTCACTTAACCCCGATTGCCTCACTAAAAAAATACACAAATCATTTTTGTAATATCCCTGATAAATAGTCATCCAGGAATTCATCTGCTTCAGACTGTTTACAGTTATAGAACAATTGCAAGGGACAGAGATTTGAATAACTATGATTTTGTGTTCTTTGAAAATGTTATCTTACAACATAAGATCTTTAGTTTCTTAGTAAATATTTACATTTCATTTAATTTGCAGATTGCCCAAGGACCCCAGATACTCCAAATAGCGATCCTCGTAGTTCTACTAGCAATAATAAATTGATGGCCTTAAAAAAACAGTTGGACATAGAACTAAAGGTAAAGCAGGGAGCCGAGAATATGATACAGATGTACTCAAATGGCTCTTCAAAGGTAAGCTTATTAAACAGTATATGAAGTACTCTAATGTAAAACTGTTACTGTAAGATATAGACCTAACAGATCTAGCATCTTATTTCAATATCCTATAAACAATTGAATAAATTGGTAAATAGTGTACTTATAAGTACCACATTCTCTATAATTGCTTGAAATAAATCAAGAGATTCACAAAACTTATTTTAGCTTTTCAATTCCATACTCGGGTGGTACAACCAATATTTTAAGATCAGTGTATTTAAATCTAGAACATAAAGTATCTTTGATCAAGCTTCATTCACTTTATGAATTGAACTGTGGCATTCTTTATTAGTACCAGCCAGTTCCTTCTGATGCCTTTATTTTGAGTATATGCAAATAGATGGACAAGACTTTGTGTTAGGTTCCACAGAGAAAGGTTGGGATAGAATAATGGAAAAGGAAACCATCTGAATAAAGGCCAATCCTGAATAGAAATATCTAATACTAATAGGGAAAATGGGGGTAGAGGGGGTGAGGAAGGAGGACTCAACCCAAGAGTATTGGGGAACTTTACTGAATAGGCTTTAGAGGGTATTCCCATATCAGAAATGGTGTACTTGAAAATTGTTTTTATTCATCATACCTAAGCATTGAATAAACGACTCGGTTCACTTTTGAAGAAAGGGAAATTCAGAAGTATTTGAGTTATCTCAGACAAGTGTATCCAGAAAGCCTTAATTAGAATGGTAAAATCTGTAGAAAATTACTGTTGTTGGTTTCATGATCTTATACAAACAACATGCTCCAGTGAATAGAGAAATAAGTTGAAAATTGGGAAATGAATTCTTAACTTGCCTATTAGTTCATTTTGTGATCATAGGCAAGTTGTAACCTATGCCTCCCTTCATAAGTAAAAGTCTTCCACTTACAAACATAGATGAAATAATTAATCATGTTTCAAATTTCTGAAGTTGGAGTTCATGAACTTCTGATAACTATCCATTAGAAATTCTGACAGAGTAGAAGGTTGAAAGGCAGTCTTTATCCTTATAGTTCTGTTTTAAAATATGAAATATGTGTTCAGGCCAATTCTAGATTCATGAAGATCTACCTAGCCCAGTATGGAAAGGCTCATCACCAGTAAGTTGTGTGATGAATGTATTGGACGTGGGAAGCCATGAAACAAAGAAAAGTACAAAATAGTCTCTTCTGTACCACTTTGTGGGCAGAAAAAGAGGTCTTATAATTACAGTTTTCAGACTGCTGATAAATTAACTGTTGGTACTCATAACTGTAACTTGTCCAGTGGCCAAAAAGTGGACATGCTCTGAGGTGCAGAATACTATCCATCTTATTTTCCCTGTAAATAAAGCCAGAAGAAAAAAAGGAAATTGCAGCTAAATGGAAGGATTGCTTACAGAGAGGTTCTGTACTTAGCATGGAAAGGAGTTGGTGGTGTGGGTTTGATTATATATCCAAAGACAAAAAGAAACATCATTTAATGTGACATTTGGTCACCTCATTGTAGTACTCATAATAAATATTTGTAAAAATATTACCATGGAAGAAATTGTGACTTTTGCACCAACATTAGTTGCAGAGGATAAAGAGGTAGAAAATTTTTACAAAGAACTCAGTTCTACAAAAACACTTGTTAAGACCCTCCAAATTAAATCAGTGTGTAAAAGAGGCAGGTAGGAGTCTTAAACATAAGGCTAGTTAGGACTAGCATTATGCTAGAAAGGGCGTTATACATACAAAAGATTCTGGATTTTTCCAAGTTAAAGAGGAATTCCCTCAGGATGGGAGATCTTACTGATGCTTCTCTTCAAATGTCTTCATGCTTGTGGCATCAAGTCCCAGAAGATTGAAGAGCCTCCAGAAGAGGTCTATAACCTGACCATCCACAGAGGAGAGACTAAGTGAAGGAAGAAAGTCAGTTGGAGAAACAGCCTATATCACATAGTTTATCTTTCATTTTTTTATCTGGGATAGACACAGTACAAATGACAGTGAGTTGGGTGCAGAATTAAATGAAGGAGAGTGGGCTGGGTTGCCTTCAGGAAATTAGAAAGCTCCTTGAAGGACCTCTAATTTCCTTCAAATGCACAGGCCCATATATACTGGCAGTGTTGTATAATTATGAGATATCAAACACAACACTTTCCAAAGAATTTTAAAATAATAATTACATAAAAGGAACATCAAACTGGTGAGATCAGAGATCTATCTTTTGAGTAATGATGTACAACATATATTGTATTATATTTTTATTGTATAAATTATTCTCCTTCTACTCTGCATCAGTTCATACAAGTCTTCCTAGGTTTCTCCAACAGCATCCCCTTTGTCATTTTTTACAGCACAGTAGTGTTCTGTCACGTTCGTATACCATAACTTGTTCAGCCATTCATCAATTGATGTGCACTTCCTCCTCAGTTTCCAATTTTTTGACACCATAAAAAGAGATGCTATAAATATTTTTGGACATATCAGTCTTTTTCCTCTTTCTTTGATTTCTTAGAGGAATAGATCCAGTAGCAGCATCACTGTGTCAAAGGGTACTAGGTTTGGGGGCATAATCTGAAATTACTTTCCAGAATTGCTGACCCAGTTCACAACTCCACCAACAGTGTTTTAAACACCTGTTTTCCCTAGCCCTTCCTGCATTCATCATATTCCATTTTTGTTAACTTTGCCAATTTGATGAGTGTAGTATGGATCCTTAGTTATTTTAATTTACATCTCTTTAATTAATTTACATTAGTGATTTAGAGCATCTTTTCATATGGCTGTTGATAGCTTAAATTTCTTATTCTGAGAACTGTTTGTGACCTTTGACCATTTATCAATTGGAGAATGGTTCTCATTTTTATACATTTGAATCAGCTCCCTATAGATCTGAAAAAGGAGACCTTAATTGAAGAGTCTTGCTCCAAGATTTTCCCCTATTTACCTGCTTCAATAGAGATGATAATTAAGACTGTGTGAGTTTGAGGTTACCAGGAAAGACGACAAATAAAAGCACAGCTCATGAATTCAGTGGGCATTAACCTAAGTTTGGTATTTAGTCATTATACTTTTGATGACTTTTTTTTACTCCTTGCAATAATGGGATTGTACTTTAAAAATTGATTGTCACATTGATGTAGGCTGACTTTGTTGAAAATGATATAGTGGTATTGTCTAATACTCTTTCTAATTCAACAGGCATTCATTGAATTTTCTAGTCTTACTTTAAAAACTAGGTTTATTTATTAGATGCTGCTGTTTTCGAGGTCGCTACTTTGGGAAATAATAGAGATGCCTGGAGAATGAGCAGTTTTTGTGTGCTGTCTTTTGGCTTTCATTCTAACTTGCTACAAGGTTTTTTGAATCTTAATCCTGTAATTACCAGGGTTCTTATCCTTCCAGACTTGAATTCATCATCCATTACTATTATGTATATAGTGACAGTTTCTTTTATTTTACCCTCTAGTTTGAAAAACTGTTGTTTCAAGTATTTCTTTTGCCTTCTGAAATCTCCAGTTTGTTATGGCTTTCCTGGGTAGACCTCGCAATCATTTTTCTGCAGTGTGTCAGGATGGAGTTTTTTCTTTTCAGTGGCTCACCCACCATTGTGCCTTCTAAATTCAAAGCCTCTCAAGATATCCTAAGACAGATCAACATAACTTTGTCAAGTTTTGCAGAAAGGGCTTTTATTTATGGGCCTGTTTAATTTGGGACAGCTAGGTTACTCAATGGATACAGTGCCATCCTTGAAGTCAGGAAGACTCATCTTCCTGAGTTCAAATATGACCTCAGACACTTACTAGCTGTATGATCCTGGGCAAGTCACTTAACCCTGTTTTACCTCAGTTTCCTCATCTGTTAAATGAGCTGGAAAAGGAGATGGCCAACCACTCCAGTATTTTTGCCAAGAAAACACCCCAAAAGAGGTCAGCAAGAGTCAGACACAATTGAACAACAAATAAATTTTGCTTTCAAAGTTTTTCTTAGCTCCCTACAATTTCAGATGCCACATGTTATGGTTGTCTTCCTTAGATTTAATAATATGAAGGGAAATAAGTAGAAATGTTCAGATACTGTCAGCAGCATTCTGAGTTACTCTTCAAATGTACCGCTTCATTAAAATTTGACTTCAAAACAGTGTTGGAGGGACTTCGGAAGGACAGGCACACGAATGGTTGGTGAAGTTATGAATTGGTCCCAGCATCCTGGAAAGTAGATTGGAATTGTGCAAAGTATTTAAAATGTTAATATCATTTGACCAAGAAATTCCACTGCTAGGCATAAACCCCCAGGATAATGACGAAAAGAAGAGTCCCTTATAACCCAAAATATTCATAGAACTTTTTGTGGTAACAAAGACTTGTGTATCAATTGAATGTAAATGAAAACAACACCAAAACAGTTAACACTGGATATTACAAACTTAGAATGAACAAGCTTGGGATCAAAGAAGGGATATGAGAAAACACCTCCCTTGATTCCTTGCAGAGATGGGGAACCATGGGTGTGGAATACTTCATGTAATATCAGACTTTGAAAATAACTTGGTTTTGTGGAGCTTTTTTTCTTCTTTTCTTCTTTATTATAAGAGAGATCTAGTGGAAAATGTAGATTACATTTTTAGAAGAATATTAATAAAAATAAATTTTAAAATTGACCTAAAGGTGATAGGAAAAAAAATTTTCTTAATCTCAGAGCACTTTGGCATATGTTACTTTATATGATTGCATTTGACTTTTAAATTTCTGATTCCTCTTGATAATGGAAAAGAAAAAATGAAGTACCTTTTATACAAATTAAGGACAAGGGAAGTAGCAGTAACTTCACATATTAGAAGACTTACCTTTGGGTTTTTGAAATGAGATGTGTGGTATTGAAAATAACACACTTGGGGTGGGTTCATATGCTCGTCCTTATTAGTTGTGTAACTCTCAACAAGTAACCCAGCCTATCTGAATCTAAAGTTCCTCATTTGTAAAATGGAAATTAAATAATACTTGTACTTCCTGTGTCACATGATTATTATGAATGAGGTAGCTTGTAAAACTTGGTGCTATACAGATGATTGTTACTATGTTTGGGCTTTTTAATAATAAGAATCACTTGGTTCTTCTTAAATTTTCCTCGTTATTCACTTTCAATAAAGTAGAAATGTTTCCCCCCACAATTTTGTTATTTTTGTAATGAGATCTGTAGTGTTGTACAATTAAGATTCTCATGATTTCATTTTTAATTCTCTGTTTTTGCTACTGCTGTTTGAATTTATTCAGATGAATTAAATTTTCTTTTTGCCCTTTTTTTTTTGTTTTTGTTTTTGTATTCCCAGTGCTTAGCATAGTGCCTGGCTCATAGTAAATGCTTATTGATGATGGTGATGATGCTCCTTTGTTGGCTTACATTTTGAAACTCCTTTTCAATAGGATCGAAAACTCCTTGCCACAGCTCAACAGCTGCTTCAGGACAGCAAGACAAAAATAGAAGTCATAAGGATGCAGATTCTTCAGGCAGTCCAGACCAATGAACTGGCTTTTGATAATGGTGATGGAGTAGAGATGAACTGTTAATCTTCTTACTAATGTCAAAGCCTTAGCTAGGGATATGCCAGTATGGACATAGGGTGATTTTTTTAAGTGCTATTTGGCTTTTTAAACTTTTCATTTAAAATCTATTTAGAAGTTATATGTTTATAATACATAGATTTCATTTTTTCCAAAATAAAGACTTATAAGAATTTGAGATTGAATGCATTATTTCCTATTTTTCTTGCCAGGGGAAATTTTTCAACTAAGTGGCAAAAGCAAAGATGGAAACTATTGTGATCTAGGAATGTTACATAGCATATGGACATACTGGCTTATCCTTAGTTCTAAAAAAAATTTTCAGACTTAGAGTTTAAATTAAATGTATAGTGCAGCTCAAATATAAAGTCCTGCATTTTACCTTAGAATCTAATTAGTATAACTATTTCTTACCACTTAAATAACTACCTTCTGACTTAATCTCATCAGAATTCATTTGCTTTTTAAAATTTTTCTAAGTCTTCTTAGATAATCCAAATAGTTGGTTCTATTAAATTTACTTAAATTTTTTTTCTTCTAGCAAAACCTGTGATAAGTCCTCTTGAACTTCGGATGGAAGAATTACGGCATCACTTTAGGATAGAGTTTGCAGTAGCAGAAGGTGCAAAGAATGTGATGAAATTACTTGGATCGGGAAAAGTAACAGACAGAAAAGCACTTTCAGAAGTAATTTTTCAAATTAAATGTTTTAACTTAATATAGTAACTTAAAGAATGTAATTATTAAAATGAAAGCATTTTAAAATGAAACCTCTTCTTTTCTGTTCAAGGCCCAAGCGAGATTTAATGAATCCAGTCAAAAGTTGGATCTTTTAAAGTACTCATTAGAACAAAGATTGAATGAACTTCCAAAAAATCATCCCAAAAGCAGTATTATTATTGAGGAGCTATCTCTTGTTGCATCACCAACACTAAGTCCACGGCAGAGTGTAATATCTACACAAAACCAATATAGTACACTATCCAAACCAGCAGCACTAACAGGTATGTAGGTGGGTAAGCCATGCTTTGAGAATATTGTGTTTTTGGTTTTTTGGTTTTTTTAATCCATTTTTATACTATTTTAGTAACTTATATATTATGTATTTATTTAGATTACCAAAATTGTCTGTGAGAAAACCATTTTCAAATATGTCAGTTCAGGGTCTTGGAAGTAACTATTGCTCCTGTCTTCATCTGAAAATGATGCAGCAAAAATAGAAGTTGTTTTTTAGGAATGATTAATCTTACTAGAATACTTATTTAAAATATTGTTCAGGTTATCAAAGTTCCCAAAATAAGCTATAGAAGCCTGTAATATGCTGTTACTGCCAGGATTATTTGAACTGCCATTGTTCCATTTTATCATATGCCAGGTTTTCTGATTAAAAACTTGGAAGAAAGGGCAGCTAGGTGGCACAGTAGATAGAGCACCAGCCCTGGAGTCAGGAGGACCTGAGTTCAAATCCGGCCTCAGACCAAACACTTGTCACTTACTAGCTGTGTGACCATGGGCAAGTCACTTAACCCCAATTGCCTAAAAATTAAAAAAAAATTTAATTAAATTAAAAACTTGGAAGAACCCAACCTCCGGATTTTTAATTGCCTCTAATCAGTGTAAGGGCAGCTAGGTGATGCAGTGGATCTAGCACTGACCCTGGAATCAAGATGACCTAAGTTCAAATCTGGCCTCAGACACTCACTCTGTGACTCTAGGCAGGTCATTTAACTCTGCCTCAGTTTCCTCATCTGTAAAATGAGCTGGAGAAGGAAATGGCGAACTATTCCAACATCTTTGTCAAGAAAACCCTAAATGGTGTTACAAAGAGTTGGACAGGACTAAAAAATGACTGAAATCAGAGTAAATATTGGGAAGCAGATTTACCAAGAAATGAAACTTCATTCTGTCTCAGGAAAACATTTTGTATTCCCCATGTGCTGTGTGTTTGCCCTCTCTACCTCTTTCCCTGTTCTGGAAGGTCTTCTATTAAATTTTATGCCTATTCCAAATTTACTAAAGGAGGTGAAGTTGTATTAAGTGGGTAGAGCACTAGATTTGGAATTAGAGGACCTGAGCTCTGTCCTGGCTCTGCCTTTTACTGTTTGTGTGACCTTGGACAAAACAGTTAACCTCTTTGTACTTCACTTTATTTCTCTCTAAAGTGAATTGTAGTTATATTGTTTGCAGATGTTATAATCATTCTATCTGTAGCTTCAGTTATGCAATTAAAATGTTGAGAAAATCAGGACCAAGGACAGGTCCCTTGGGCTGTCCTTGAGAGGCTCATTTTCAGGATGACTCTGGTCCTAGTTATTAAACCAGATCTGAATCAGTCTGGCTGCTTTCATCTTTGATGTTGTCTTCCCATCTTGTCCACAAGAATAGTTTGAAAGATTTTGACACCTGTCATCCTGAAACCCAGATATAGTATGTCTGTATGCTCACAAAACTCATCCCTTTATTATTTTCTAGAGTTTTTCCAGGAATCAAAGTCAGGTTTATTGATTTGTGACTTAAAAGAACTTCCTTTTTTGTTTGTGAATTGGACACTGCCTGTCTTTACTCCTTCGGTACATCTAATCTCCATATTTCTGACAGTGGTTTGGTAATCATCCACATATTATGTACTCTAACATAGAATTTTATGGGCCTGACAACAATAACTTGAAGTTATTGAGGATAACTAGATATTCTCTTACAAACTCCTAACTTAACCCGTTTTCAGCTGCCTATTAGTCATGTTTGTTTTTCCCATTCCAGTAATTGTGTCCCTTAATAGATAAAGCTGAAGCAAAAATCAGAGTTTAGCAGTTGAGCCATCTCTTAATTTTATCCTCTTGTCCACCCTGAACTATTGGCCTTAATCTCTTTTAAATCTTCCTTTACGGTATAGCTATAAAATTCACTTATTGTCTCTAGCATTTATTTCCAATCTCAATTTCCTCTGAACTTTAGTGCTCCCTGACACTTTTCTTATATGACCATAGCACTCTTAATCATTCATTTTCAGCTCTGTGCTCTTTCATCAATCTCTAGTACATGTCTTTTGTGGTTATTGGTTTTTCTCTCATTTCTTTTATTTTTTAAATTACTTGTTTTCCATTAATAAAAATCCATGGTTTCTTTCCCTCCAACCCTTCCCATTGCACTCTCATTTGAGAAAGAAAAACAAAATCTTTGCTACAAACATGTGTGGTCAAAACAAATTTCCCCATTGTCTCTACAAAAACAAATACAGTGGACAGCAGATTTCATCATTAGTCTTCTGGAATCATGGTTGGTCACTGCATTGATCAGAGTTCTAAAGTCTTTCAAAATAGTTTGTCTTTACAGTATTATTATTGTTATTGTATAAATTGTTCTCTTGCTTCTGCTTACTTCAGTCTGCATCAGTTCAAGTATCTCCAGATTTCTCTGACACCACCTCCATCATTAATTACAGCATGATAGTATTCCATTATATTAATGTGTATGATTTATTCAGTCTTTATATGTCCTCAGGTTCCATTTCTTTACCACCACAATAAAAAGCTGCTAAAATTAATTTTGCATATGTGAGCCCTTTTCCTTTTTCTTTGAGTATGACAGTACTTTGAATAGAAAGGAAGTCTGGAAGAGGGATGGATTTGGAATGAAGCATAATGAATTCTGTTTTAGGCATTTTGATCATTTGCACAAAACTAATTGGACCCATGTGATTGGGTGGGACCACCAAGAAAGACCCTACCAAATAGCACTAGACTCTTGGTTCTGCTAGTTTCATTCTGTATTAGTTCATACAAGTCTTCTCAAGTTTCTTTGAAACCATTTTGGTCATTTCTTCTAGCACAGTAGTATTCTATCATATTCATGCACTGTAATTTATTCAGCCATTTCCCAGTTAATGGGCACCTTCTCAGTTTCCAGTTTTTTGACATCATAAGAAGAGATGCTATAAATATTTTTTAACGTATCAGTCCTTTTCTTCTTTCTTTGATTTCTTAGGAGAACAGACCCAGTAGCAGTTTCACTGTGTCAAAGAGTGTGCATAGTTTACTAAATTTAGGGGCATGGTTTCAAAATGCTTTCCAGAATAATTGAGGCAGTTCACAGCTCCATCAACAGTGCATTAATGTACCTGTTTTCCTCAGGCCCTCCAGCATTCATTTTCCCTTTTATGCCAGCTTTGCCAATCTGATGGGCTTAAGATGGTCCTTAGAGTTGTTTTAATTAAAATTCCAATGATTTTTAGAGGACCTTTTCTTACGATTGTTGATAGTTGGGTTTCTTGGGAGAACTTTCTCTTTGTGGCCTTTGACCTTTTATCAATTGGAGAATGGTTCTTACTCTTATGAATTTGAATCGGCTCCCTATGTATCTTAGAAATGAGACCTTAATCAGAGAGACTTGCTGCAAAGATTTTTCCCCCATTTATCTGCTTTTCTTTTACTTTTAGCTGAGTTAAGTTTTTTGTGCAGTCAAAATTGTTTTACCTCTTGTATTCTTCGCTATATTTTGTGTAGTTGTGAACTCTTTCCCTTTCCATAAATCTAACAGGCAATTTCCTTGCTCCTTTAATTTGTTTATTATGTTACCATTTTTGTTAAGTCATCTACTCATTTGGAACTTATTTTAGTAAATGATATGACAGTACATGTCTTTTAGGTCTAAGTTGTCAGTAAGTCTTTTTAGGTACCCATATCAGTATCTTTAGTGTTTTGCTCCTTTTCTTCTGTACCTTATTTACAGTTTGGATCTTCAGGATTTTATTCTTAGGAGCATCCAGGTTCTGTAAAGTGTTAGTCCATGCCGTCCTACAGTCTTTCTCAGGAGTTTTTGAAGTGTATGTCCTTGAAGTACATCAGTCTGTGCTCAGCTTTCCAACTAATTCAGTCTTTGGCTGTATGAGTTATATCTATAGAATAATATATTCTTTCCCTGTTGAGCCATTCCTTCACCACCATTCTTCTGTTCTTTCTTCTTTTTTCAGTTAATTTATTTTTAGTTTTCAACATTCACTTCCATAAACTTTTGAGTTTTAAATTTTCTCCCCCTTCCTTCCCTCCTCCCTTCCTAAAACAGAGTGCAATCTGATATAGGCTCTACGTATACATTCCTACTAAACATATTTTCACATTAGTCATGTTGTAAAGAAAAATCAGAACCAATAGGAGGAACCACAAGAAAGAAGAAACAAAAAAAAATAAATAAAAGAGCAAATAGTACACTTCGATCTGCATTCAGACTCCGTAGTTCTTTTTCTAGATGTGGATAGCATTTGGCATAATGAGTCTTTTGGAGATGTCTTAGATCCTTGCATTGCTGAGAAGAGCTAAACCTATCAAAGTTAGTCATTACACAATGTGGCTGTTACTGTGTAACAGTTCTCTAGTTTCTGCTTGCTCCACTTAGCATCAGTCCATACAAGCCTTTCCAAGTTTTTCTGAAGTCTGCCTGCTCATCATTTCTTACAGCACAATAGTATTCCATCACATTCACATACCACAACTTGTTCAGCCATTCTCCAATTGATGGACATCCCTCAATTTCCCCTTCTTGGCCACCACAGAAAGAACTAATATAAATATTTTTGTACGTGTGGGTCCTTTTCCTGTTTGTATGATCTCTTTGGGATATAGCCCTGTGAAAGTGGTATTGCTCGGTCAGAGAGTATGCACATTTTTATAGCCCTTTGGGCATAGTTCCAAATTGCTCTCCAGAATGATTGGATCAGTTCACAACTCCACAGTGCATTAATGTTCCAGTTTTCCCATATCTTCTCCAACATTTGTCATTTTCCTGTTTTGTCACGTTATAGCATATCCTTTCTTCTTTTGAGGTCTGCATAATCTGTTCCCTGTTATTATTTCAGTTATCTACCAATCCCCAGCTCACTCACTTTACTTTTTCAGTGACTTTAGTACCTAGCTCATGGTCTTCCTCTCAACTTCATACTCTCCTCTTATTCTTGGATGTTCCAATATTCATTTCACAATACATCTGACTACATAGTTCTTCAGCCTCT